GTGTGTGTGTGTGTGTGTGTGTGTGTGTGTGTGTGTGTGTGTGTGTGTGTGTGTGTGTGTGTGTGTGTGTGTGTAATATATAAAACAGTTCTATTTCTCTCTCTCTCTCTGCGCGTCTGCAACAGTTCGTCATGGTAGAGGTCGTTAACACTGCGCTACTGGACAAGTTTCACTTCCTCCGTCCACGCAAGACGCTCACCATGATCGGAATAAGCGTCGTCATGTTCATGCTAGGTCTGCCCATGTGCGCCAAGGTACGTCTAATTATATAATTATATAAATGCATGTACAGCGTGTGTTTGTGTTTGTGTGTTTGTGTGTGTGTGTGTGTGTGTGTGTGTGTGTGTGTGTGTGTGTGTGTGTGTGTGTGTGTGTGTGTGTGTGTGTGGTCTCAAACTATTATTGCAACAAAGTTTTAAGTTGATTCAATAGTCTTACTTCAGGTAGGGCACCCTATTATTGTTAAAGGGTGGCATCGGGATTTATTTTTCACGCCAATGTACTGTGACTGATAGGTGCTAGCAATTTTAAACGTGTAATTTCAACAAAATGGTGTTTATTCCAGATATATTGGATAGGGCCGTATCATGTTGGGGGGCAAGGGGGGCAGCTTACCCCCTAGATTTTGGAGCAAAATTAAAAGATAATCTTAGCTAATAATCGTAAATAACCATAACGTGATTTTTTGGTCACTTATCCGTGAAAGCCTTGTCTCATACCCACCCCTACCACAATATGGACGTCGATCAAGAGCTGCGCCCGTCGCTCATTATTATACACAGTTGAAAAATGTAATTTGCCCCCCCCCATTAGAATTTGCTCAGCCTACGGCCCTGCTGCAAATGCGCAAACAAAGGTTTTTCGCGATATTACAATAAATTTTCTACGATTATGCAGCTTATGATAATTATTGCATATGATGATTATGATTATGATTATGTTTATGATTATGATGATGATAATGATAATGATAATGATAATGATTATTATTATTATTATTATTATTATAATGATGATGATAATCATGATAGTTATGATGATTATTGCAACAAATTGCCTATTTTGAATCATTACAATAATTTGATAAAGGGTTGAGATACATTTCACGTAGAGCATAGGGTGCCACCTAGTGGCTGATTTAAATATTATTAATGTTTACTTCAGCTAGCACACCATAGAACTAGAATATTACTTCTATTCTAGTTCTATGGGGGCACACTCCTATTATTAAAGAGAGACTGCGGGATATGTACTTTTAATGTCAAACTACTGCGATGGACTTGCTTTTCATTTCAAACCTATAATTTCAACAAAATGTCGTTTTATTTCGGGGATACCTGGTATGCGCAAACAAAGGTCTCTCGCATGCTGCAAGGAAATTTCGTATGACTAGGCACTTTAAATTATGCATATGATATGTGTACGTGATATTTCTAAATTTAAAAGTATAGTTTTAAGAAAAATACAAATTCTCTAATTCGATGAAAACTGGAGATACATCTACATGCGTTGTTTAGGCCACAACACATATTCGCTGACTAAAAATTTTATTAGCATTCTTCATTGATTTACTAGAGTACGTAGATCTCGATCCAAAAAAATCTAACTTTCTAAGCTTTTGCTGGAGTAATAAGACCAAAAACAAGTCTGCCAGTACCATAAGAGGACGCGCTGTGATCAGCCGAGATTGTATTGAATTAGGTCGAAGTTTAGTGAGCCCAGAAGTTTCGGAGATTTGTTCATGCGATCCATATACACCTATAAATCTCAGTCACATATAATCAACGATGTCAACATGAACTGAAATTGTAAATGTTTATTTAAATATATAAGCATACAGTGTTCTTACGACAAAATCTACTGATATGTGAACCATTATGTAGTGATGCCCTCTTCACAGTATTCTCCTGTGCGCAGACATTACGCGCCCAAATACGCAGACATTGCCTGTTCCTTACTGTAGACTATTCGGTGAATATTTCAAGCAGTGACATCTAACGATGATCTCCCAAGTGTAAGTTAATCCGGCAGACATTTATAGAGCCACAGCTGAAGTTGGCTAGTGTTACGAACGCAGTTACTTGCAATAATGCGTGCATAACCAACGTCGCTATATTTACCGACCAGGCACTTTGCTTACACACGAGGACGGCCGCCGGGTCTCGGCCTAAGGTTATATACAAAGACCAGCTGTTGACTTAGAAACAACCACATATAGCCATGGCCAATAAGAATAATAACGGTTTACGTTTACACACACGCGCGCACACACCACACACCACACACACACACACACACACACACACACACACACACACACACACAGCACACACATGAAATATATATAATATAATATATTATAATATCTATATATATATATAGTAATATAACTACGATTAAACTGCAAATCAAATATGAGCCCTAAAGATAGTACGCCTGAAATCATGCCTTTCTGATGTGGACACACAACAGTCGTGATGATTGCACAATTAATTTGTATGCGCAGAAAAATACAAATCTCTGGTTTGCGATGGCCATGTTCAAATGATTAACCGCAGCGTTAACGTGGTGATTCTACTTTGGTGGCGATTGTTGTGCTGAGTGGCGTCGGTACTGGTGAATACGTCCTTGCACTCCTTCCGCTTCCCTTCTCTATTTTCCTATCCCGGCAAGTATTGTTAATGCGTGTCAGGGTTCTAAACAACAGCCGCCTGAACATGTCTTCGCTGTCACTGCATCTCTGAAGTCTCTTCTTGCAGTAGATGATGCCCTTCGTTTGCTGATAGTTGCCCAGGCTGGTGAAAACGCACAGCGAAAATTGTAATTAGAAAACGCGGGAAAGCCAATTGTGAGAGGGAAGCGAGAGCGGTGAGAGGGAGAGCGAACGTAGGCGTGATTGAGAGGAGTGGGGCGACAGAAAAGAGGCAGTTAAAAAGAAGGAAGGCGAAGAGGAGACAAAATATTACGAGGAAATAAGAGAGAAAAGCAGGAGAAAGCGCGAGAGAGTTGAGAAGAGGCAGGAGAGCCAGTGTCGTGGCGAGAGATAGAGAGAGAGAAGGGAGGGAAGTGGAGAGAAGCGAGAAGAGATTGGTATGAATATAGAGTAGGCGGGGAGTGATTAATACATATGACATATACATTAATACAGATCTATTTAATATGGCTTGCTTCGCCGCCCCTGAACTCCGCCCTCCCTACCAAGCAGCACCGAGCAATGGAATTTAAACAATGTCTAGCCAGCGATAGCGAGTTCACAATAGCTACAGTTCGTCCAGCTAATAGAAGTATAGACAGGTGGCAGTAAATAGGCGGTTAATGTAAGCACGACGCACTCCGGAGGCTCGTCTTGGCAGACAGAACATTTGAAGCACATTTTGTGGAAGAGGACACGACGCGAGCCTCGATGCGTTCCGCGGCGTACACCGTCTTCTCAACATCTCCACACTTAGCTCTCCAACTTCTTGCTGCAAAGAAATAAAATGGGTAAATAGTAAAACGTTTACGTGTAAATACAAGGACAGACTGAACGCGTCTCTGCGGGAAGCAAATTCACTGCGAAAGGCTGACCCAAAGTGGGTTCGACGAGCTTTATGCACTCGATGGCTATTCAGTTAAAAACTAAGTCATGTACCAAAAAAAATAGCGTCAATTAATTAATAACGATCTGTGGTTTTGTGCCTAGATTCATCTTTGCTGTATCACCCGACACGAGCCGCATGTCAGGACGATATCACCGCATAATATATATATACGAGATGATATTATATACGCTTCATGCACAGCGTGATATATTATGTTTTCTCAACACTGCGCTCTCGTCGCCGTACTTTTCTCTCCCATGGGTCCTCTGCGCTTCTTCTTCTCCCTCCCCCCTCTCTCTATCTCGTCACGGATCTCATTGCTCTCTCTCTCTCTCTGTACATGCCACGTCAGGTCTGCGACAATATTCCAATTACGTTAAAACGTGAGCCACGCAGATGAAGTTGACGTATTCGCACTTGTTAAAGTTGCCGCTATAGAGAATCGTCTGTGCGCCAACGCCCTGTTAGCAGGGTGGCGTAAGACAGGATCGCGATCCATCCAATAAAAACATAACGCATATACTTCTTTCAAAGGTCGCGAAGATTTTTTTTTTTACAACCAAAACTGACGACACACTGACGGTATAATATATCTGGCGTGCGATAAAATGGTGTTATGGCGGTTACGCGGGTACATGTGCTTGCGGTTATTATTGGCTTGTAGCAGCCTCAACTTCATAAGAATGAATGGCAGCTATGGTTAAGTAGATTGTGATCAGCTGCAATGAAACGCAGATGCAGGGGCAGCTGCATAATATGGAGTTAGGTATTTGCAAAAGGCGTCTGTAGACGGGATTTCCAGTACAGTCGATATATAGGTCAAAAATCGGATAATATCGGCGTCAATATAATGTCGGATTATATTTGCCATTAAGTCGATAATCTTGGGATAATCATCCATCAGAGCAGTCCCGTAGTTGTTGATTAAGCATTCATTGCTTGTCTCGGAACATTGTCGCTACCATACAGCGTACTAGCGGCAAGCTATGCAACGATCAAAATGTCTATCTGCTTAGTGTATAGGCTAATTAATCACAAATTAGTTTTCTCAGACCATTTGAAGTCATGCTTCGTTTGTTGTTCAGCCAAATGCGATTTCATTTACCATCTATAGTAACATTATGTTAAAAAAGTCTCACGTACTGAAATAAAAATATGCAGCACAGCATAGATATAGCTATCCTTAATGCAAAAGATAAACAGGGATACATCTATGTTGATTATAAGCCGTTCAGTGTTATGCTGGTTTCCGGCGATATTATCGTGCTGGTATCCTCCAATGTAATACAGTAGGGACAATACAATCTGTTATGAAAGACAATGTAAACGAAGCTAGGAAGGATATATATTGCAAATCGTCGTTAAATGGCCATGAAAGCGGCATGCTATGAGAGGCGAGGGAAAAGATGAGAGGAGCAGCGCGAGAGAGAGAGAGTGCCAAATGGAAAGGTAAGAGCGCGCTAAGGAAGGGAAGCGGATAGAGATGGAGGAGGGGAGGAAGGGAGGGAGGGAGGAGTAGGGAGAGGGAGGGAGGGGGAGGGAGGGAGGGTGGGCGGGTGGTGGGAGTTAAGGAGGGAGGAAGGATTAATATATATATATCCTTGTTCTCTTAACTACGTTGAACTAGAACGCCGCGCCTCATTGGTTTCTTCGGCGTTTTTTCCCTCACCGTTAAGCTCCGTCGGTTGTTCCCAAAACACGCCGAGGAGCAGGAAACGTGATTGTTTATACAGAGCAGGCAGAGCAGCAGCAAGCTAAGCGATGGCAAACGACCCTCCACATATCAGCGCAGCGCAAACCCGGCTCACCGACAACACCGCCAGAAGGGTCGAAGCCACCGGAAACAAGAAAGCCGCAGGCAGCTAACGGCACGAAGAGCATGTTATCGTGTTAGAGCGATTACGACGGGGTGGCTTCCACATATGGCCATGATGTAGGCATGGGAATGGCAGAGGGAGAGACGGCGGATCAGCAGGCGTGCATGCGATGTTCACTGTACTTACATTGGGCAGCTGCGGTGCACGGAGGGATCGAGGGAGAGAGGCGGGCAAGGGAAAATGACTTCTATTGGGTGAATACCCTGTTGACCGAGGAGCCGCCGGCAACAGTGACTAATCACCGATTGACACAATGTGGGCGCTTCGGTGGATACGGTGCATTGGGTCATGGTGGTCACAGATAGCGACGGGGTACGCGAGCCGGCGTTTGTGTGCTCGCATGAACGTCGGATGCCGACTAGCAACACAGCAACGAGTCTCTCTCTCGCTCCTTCTCTCCGTCTCTCACTGGTCCTCTCTCACTCTCTCCTCGACGATCGTCTCTCGTCGATTCTCTCTATCTCTACCTATCTAGCCTCTGTTGCACTCCACCACTAAGCTCTCTCGCAGCGCGCAAC